TTAGCAATTATCTTATTAAATTTTATAAATTTTTTTTTATTTTAATTTTATATAATTTTAAAATTAAAATAAAAAAAATTTAGTAAATTTAATTAATTAGTTATTAAAATATTTTAATTTAAAAATTAAAAAACTTGTACTAAAAATGATTTGTCACTTTTCTATTAACTCTACTATTGTATTTAGGCTCTATGACTACCGCAAGAACTTCATTTTTGGTGATTAAGCACCACAACTATGTTAGCAGTGCAAGGACCTCATGTTATGTTAGGCTCTGTAGCTGCAATAGCATAAATTAATCAAAATTAACCAAATTGAAACCAATGATAACAATTTTCATACTTACTGAATATGGTTAAGTATATTGCATAGTTTAAAAAAAATTTTTTTGTAACAAAATAAACTATTACTGTATATAATCTATCCAAGCCATACCTTAATAAAAAAAAAAAAAAAGATAATGGTAATGCTTTCCTGCTAAATTCCATATAATATTGTCCATGCATACTTTATTTACAGTTTAGTTATATCTACAATTTAACAAATCTGAAGAATAGAAACCTGTAAAGCACAGAACAATTGACGAAGTACAAGGTGAAAAGTTTCATTTAAAGATATTCTACAAACGTACGTACGTATGTACAATAAGTAAACGGAGATCCATCTGATAGAATTTTTTTACCATTCCTTGTTGAATGGAACCATCCCAGTTAATCGGACCCGGACATGTCCGTGAACTTCGAACCGAACTTCAGACCGAACCAGACTTGGTTGAAAAGTTCGTGATCGAACTCGAACCGAACATAGCCTTGAAAAAAGTCTGAGTTTGAGTTTGGTTTGAAATCGAACCAAACTCAGACTCAGCCAAAAGTTCGGTTCGGTTCGGTCCAATAGGAACACTATAGCTATTATTCTAAAGAATTATAAAAATAAGATAAAACCATGTATTTAACTTTGTGAATTTGCAAAATATCCGTATCCTAATGTCAATAGAGTGGAATAAACAAAATAATTGTTCTATAAAAGTATTTGCTTTTATCAAGTAAATTGCGTTAAAAAAAAGTTTATATACTTCCCAACCCAATCTTAAGAGCAAAATTTCAAGTCAAATAGCGACAGAATATGCTTTTTTTTTATTTATTAAATAAGATTTTACATATAATTCACAAAATAAAAATATAAAGGTTGTTAATTCCGTTGATCTATTGAAAAATAAATTTATATGTTTATAATTGTTAAGCCAAGGCACTGTATTATAGATTCAGATCTTTAGAAATACCTGTGCGAAACACTAATTGCATTTCTAGTATTTAGGGTGTGTTTACATTTATAAATTTAGAGCGCATATTCATTATAACTCTAAGCAGTTTTTCAAACCTAATACATTTTCTAAGTTCTCTTTCCTAAATCCTTCTGAAGATTCATTTGTTAGCAAAGGTCCAACACTCATTTCGATCCAATTTTCCCAAATGTTTTCAACTTGCGTAACAAAATTATCTCCAATGCCTATGCAAAATATAGCATCATACCCTCCAGCTATTATTGTAAATTTAAAAAAATAATTCAAATATAAATAAGCATTTAATATTGATGATGATAAATATATTATATATATATACTAATTATATAATAATATTTACCACCAGGGACGCCAGCCATAACTACACCAGGTACATTTGTACATGCATCGAGCAATCTTGTTTGCTCAGGTGGTTCAATTGGTGCATCTGACATGTTTGACATATCACGTAGCGATTGGCGAACTTTCTAAAAAAAAAAAAAGACAATTTAAATTTTATTAATCGAATAAACAAATAAATATTCGATATAAATAGGGATGGGTTCGGCTACAAACTACTGCGATCGACTATTAGCAGATTGCTAAATTTTGAAATGATTTTTTTAATTAAAGTTATCTAGTCATAGTTACTCGTATTGGCCGATTTGTTTTGACCAAAATCGACCAATCATGATCGAGGATTATCAAAAAAATTTATTACAGAGCGAATTTTCACAAAAACGGCCTGCTTTGCATTTATAATTAAGTACGTAGAAAATCAATTCATGTATTTAATTATAAGCCAAAAATAGGTTAAAAAGGCCTTGATAATTACAACCCACCAAACAATGCCCAATCCATCCTAAAACACCCGAGTATTTCAACAAAAGGTAAAAGTACAGTACTTCTTTCTACAGTTTAGCATAGCTCTTTTATTGATTTTCGTTGGTTTTTTTTTAACTTGTCTTTTGTTAGTTGTAACAAGTGCTTCGTTTGTTAGTTTTTCAAACGTCACTTAGCAACAAATTTTCGTGTAACAGTTTATCGAGAAAAGGCCCCAAAAATCAAGATGAATTCAAACCACCTAAAATTCTTAAAAGTCGTTCCATAAATTTCAAGATTTTTTTGAATTTTAGAGAAGGTATTTTTAATTTATCTTATAAGTAACTATAGATAAAATTTACCTCTGAACAACTTTAATTAATGACTTATAAAAAAAAAACATTTCAAAATTTAGCAATTTGCTTATAGTGATCGTAGCCGTTTGTAGCCGAACCCCATCCCTAGATATAAATAAACATTTAAATGTTACTTGAAATTCGGTAAAAGTAGAATGAAGTAAATCGAAAATTCGTTTTCCCGGTCGTTCTTGATTAATAAGGTTTGACCACTAAACCAGAAAATTTCAAAGTTTAATTTTATTTAATGAAATATATCTATTTAAAGTTTTATATTACCCTAAATCCTTTAATACAAGAACAAGTTCTAATTGCGTCATAATATCCTGTCTTATCCTTTTCATATTCTCTAGTTAACTCGATCAGATTATCAATGACAATTGCGCAACTAGAAGCAATCGCATTCCACAATATATTCGCTAATTGATTACAAATTTATCAGTTGTGTAGCAAAAAAAAAAAGTAGTAGATTTGAAAAATATAATTACCTTGTTCAGGAGTTGCCTTACGCCATGCTAACACTTTGCCTACCATTCTTGGTGTATTAGATCCAGAATCTACCTCAGCAAGAATCATTTTAAATTCTGGAGGAAGGGTGAATGGTTTTACTTGATTATCCCATCTACAATCACAAAAAAAAATAAGAACGCATATGGTAATGGTTTTTAAATGCCGTATAGGCGCGAAATAATGTCCATGGGCATTATTTTGAAAATCGAGCCCTTCGAAAATAGAATATGTGGTCCCAAATTAACGCGCATCCCCCTTATTCTTTATATAAAAAATAAACAAAGAATGCTCCGGAGCTAGGTTTAGTATTAAGTAAACCTACTTTCGGGCTTTAATAAAAGCTGTTTACTTAGTATTAACCTAATTCCGGAACAACTTTTAATCTTGTCATAAGTAAGGGATTCTTATTTATATGATAACATATGTTGGAAAATCAACCCTGATTTCGAAATAACGCACATGGGCGTATCGAAATAACGCGTAGGTGGGTGTTATTTCGCATTGAAAGCACAGTATATACTTATAATCCGGATCAATGATTTTGCTGAGCACTGCTATATCAATATTATTCTTATAAAATTTTAGTAATTTCATTAAAATCAAATTTCTATTTTTGTTTTATTCATTATGCATACTTCGCTTTTAATTACTGGTTCCAATATCGCTGGCGAAAATCTCCTGTACACGTGACTTCCCCAAACGGCGGCAGAAATATCAAACCCAGACCCAACCTTGCCTTGAGCAAGACAATGACAGAATTGTGATGCATTATGGATCAATGTTCTTTCCTTGATATCATTAACATTTTTAACGCATTTGAAATAAACAAACAAAGCTGCAACCAATGAAGTTGTCATTGCTGCCGATGAACCAAGACCCGTTTTGTGTACTTTTTTTAGAGTGGTATAGACTTTACAGAATGGTGTTAGAGTGCGCAATGATGTGGTGTTAAGTGGCAAATTCGATTTTTTTAGCTTTAATTTAAAAAAAAAAAAAAAAAAAAGAATTATTTATAAATTGCTTAATAATAATAATAGATTTTAAATTATTTTTTTTTACTTGTTCACGTTGCGAATAAAAGTCATTGCTGCCAATAACATAAATATTTAGCCCTTTAAAAACTAATTCATCGAACTTTTGGCTGGAAATACGGTTTGCAATAATTGATAAACTATATTTTAGGACAGTCTCAATAAAAATATTACATCTATCCTTTTCACTGTGTATTTTTTAAAAAATCAATTAAATTAACTGGAAAATGAAATAATTTATTAAATGTAAAGTAAATTACAATGCCGAGAGTTCACATAGCCCGTCCCTTATTGTAATTTTATACTCCCAGTTTGGGTCGTCAAACTGTGGAGCGTGGACAATAATTTTTGATGAATTATCACCAGGTCGAATTACAGTGTAGAAGCGAGAACTTGTTCCAACTACAAGTCCCTCATATTCTCTATCAAGTATCAGATATCCACCCGTTAGAAGAACTTTGCCGGGAGCAGAGACAACTGTCAAAGACATAGGGATAAAGGAAGAATTATTGATGGTGATGAAATTACTCTTCTTAATAAGATTTTTGTCGAAATTGTTGAAATATTTGATGTTGAAATTGGTGAAATTAGTTTTTTAATATTATATATTAAAATTTAACGTTAATCAAAAATTAATTAAATCTAAACTTAATCAAATACAGTAATTGGTTTATATTTAATTTAAAAAATGAACTCACACCATCGATATAATACATTTAAAATAGAAACTGATTCTCAGCGTTAACCAATTTTAGTAATAAATATCCCGTTTGAATGTTACGTACACGTAGTACGTATTAAAAAAAAAAAATTTTATATAAAAGCAAAAATAAAATATATATATATATATTATACGTATAAGGCTATATAAAGTAATTGGTTTTCATAACCCGGAAAAGTGATGTTTGGAAATTTTTTTTTTAATATAGCTAGCTAATAGAAATTCTTCGTTTGATAATCATTTGACAACAGTACGTACTACGTCGATTGATTGGTCAATTAATTGAAACGTATCAAAGATCTTTGAAGTTTTTTGATTGTAAGATACTATATAGTTTTCTATACAAATTTCCTACATGATTTTACGCTCCAAATAAATAGCCCAATGCAGCAATGCGTTGACGAAGTCATGATAGGGTTATTATCGCGAGGATAACCAGATTTGTGGCTTATATGAAATAGAGGCTTATATGAAAAGATAATAGATATGCATATGATTGTATGCGATAAGATTAAGAGATCATAAATATGCATGTGATAGAGAGTATAGATATGCATGCGGCAGAGATTATAAAGATACATGTGGAGAAAATGGTGGCTTGTCTTGTTCACTTGTTCTCTTTGCTGCCCGATTACGATCTGGCTCCTTTGTGTTAGGCCCATCTTCCCGCCCTCATTCATTGCACCTAGCACCTTGTCTGTTGTCATGTGTAGTGAGTTGAATGCACCGCACCATAACATGGGTTCGAACTTGCTATTTTTTAAAGTAGAATGCGCCACACCATTGCGTGGGCCCCTACTTTCGATCCTCATTATGCTTCGTCACGTGAGTATATCCACGTGAACATAAAACAATAGCAAAAGTGATGAAGTGGAGCACTACTCCCATTATGTATCTTAATAATATTTAATAAAGTTAATAATGTTTGATAAAGAAATCCGAGCGAGAATAATATCAAATACTTAATATAGTATATGATTCAAAACTTAAGAAGCGATATAAGGTAAAATTCTATAAATTCCATCAGAGTTTGATATTAGCAATTATTGAAAGTTCTAAATCTGCGATTTTTAAATTATTCAGTAGTACATTTCTACTAGTTGAATAAGGTCATGAGAATGAATTATCTGAAGGTCTGATACATTGAGTTGTAACAGATTTAATTTATCTTTCCAACCCATTTTTGTTATAGTATATAGATTTTGCACAAACAACCTTTGGTGCTTATTTTTTATGATGGGAATATAATCTTCAGAAGTTTTGTCTTTTTATATACCGAAACATTTTAAAAAGTTGAATCTTTAAAACCGATATCACAAAGTGTTATCAACTTATTATAGTATCAAGATATATATTAATATATTGCTATAAACGACAAAAGTATTTAATAAAGATTGTTTTCTTTATAAATTTCTATGATGATTATTTGATTAATAAGTAACTTACACAAGTTGAATCAATGAATATTGGTGCATACTGGAAGAAAAGTTTCTCTATTAGTCTGCCATAGATCTGCCAAATACCTGCTAAATATTAGCAACATATTGGCAGCATATTGGTAAGATATCAGGAAGTAGATCAATATTGGTAACATAATAGTACAATATTGGGATACCCTGATATTTTGCTTTTAGCACTCTGGGCCTAAAGTAAGAAATTAAGGTATCCCGATATTTTGTTCTTATGTTGCTGATAGATCTACCTCCTAATATTTATCAATATTCTGCCAATATGCTGCTGATATTTAGCAGGATCTATCGCAGAAACTTTCTCCTAGCATGCATCTGATATTCCAATAGTTCTATTTACTATTTAACCTTTATTATTCTATATTCCATATATATAATATACAATTGCAAACCAACCTCTATCTATTTCTTAGATATTTTTAAACTTATTATAAAAAATTTAATATAATTTTTGATTAATATCTTTTTTAAAGGATTAATTTAGAATTAACCGGTGATGAAATTCACCGGCCTAAGAATTTTTAGGGTTAGGGTTAGAATATTAATAATTATTTGTTTATTATATAAAACAATATAGAGCTAATATAAAGCCCCAATCTTAGTTCTCGTGAGGTTTTCAGGGGTTCTGAACATTTTTACTTAGAGTACCCGATCCCGTTTACTTAGTACGTTTTCGAGATACAGCACCCC